GTCAACTGAACAAGTTGAATGGCCTATTGTGGATTACTTTATATTGGATAGGATGGTTGTTATATATATATATATATATATATATATATATATATATATATATATATATATATAGTTATGAGCCATGATATGAGCTTGAGTCTTAGGATCTATGGTTAGGGCGCGTATATTGTCAGGGATGTGTAGCTAGATATAGTGTAGTCATGTACTCTTGTAGGTTTAGGTACTCATGCTCACTATATGTGCGTTTTTGCATGTTGCCTACTATTCAGGTTGAGACAACCCTATAGTTTAGTGAGGTTCCTCTAGTGTGTGTGTGTGTGTGTGTATATATATATATATACGGACTATATAGTTATTGTTGAATTGACTAGAATGTATGCATGTATCGGGTCTCTGTTTAGCATGTAGTAGATTAGAACTTGTTCGTGGGCCTGAGCCACTGTTATTTTTCAGGTGTTCGTCAGATCCAGTCATAAAGGGTGGTTCGTGCGGAGAAGAAACTATTCATTCACTCTTCCGATTCGACGTAGGAGTCTTCCTTATGTTTTAGTATTTGGTTTCAATTTTATTTCATTTTTGTTTAGTAAAAGTTGGATTATGGTTAAGGGTTCACATGATGGATTCCCGAGTTGTATTGATACTGGAGATTTTGGATACTGTCATTTGGAGGATTATTTAATTAATTATTTAAGGAGTTATTATTTAAATTTCTTTTTTGCTTATTTATTTATTCTTATTTTCTTTTTGTATTCAATGCGTGTTCAAATATTAATTGTTTTATATCCTTCGGTTCGGTGCTCGGACTTGATCACCCGTGGCTCTAGAATCGAGGGGTATCACATGTAGTGACTACAAAAGTGCTTTGCTTTTCCCTAATTTGTGGAGTTTGGTCCTTTATGGTCTGAAAACTGAGGGAGCATGAGTAAAAATAGAATTTTGGGACAAACTATGGGGCCACACTTGGGGACATATGTAGCGGTCGGAAGTTCAAGAACCCAAAGCGTTAGCGAGTAACCCTAAACTCAACCCGATATTAAGTCCGAAATACGAAAGCAAAAATAAAGAAGAGGTCACTAGAGGTAAATATCACCTTTAGGAAGACAAGAGAGCCAAGTTTTAATGAGTAAAGATTGAATCTTTGAATGAAAATACCTCAAACAAGGTACCTATTATGTCACTAGACCTTTTTAATGTAAAAAGATTGAATAATTGAAAGAAAATGAGAGTTTTGAGTTAAACTTATTCGAGTTCCCTTTGACATCACGAAGAATATTTTAATAAGTAAAGATTGAATCTTTGAATGAAAATACCTTACTCTTTTTTAGCACAATAAATATATAATGATACAAATTACCTTGTCATTGGAGACGTTCCCAATTATAAAGCTTCCAACATCATAAGTTGAGAGTGTGGAAGTTAGAACAATCTCTCATCGTATGCTGCCCTCAATCATCCCTACAAGATAAACTTAAGAATTCTTCTTTAGGTACCCAAATTTTCTTAAGTTTATAAGAGTTAAGCAATGTCATATAAGTTCCTTTTGGAACCCAAATCTTCTTTGCCCGATTTTCTTTCTAAATGGACGACTCTAAATTTTCTGTCCTATTTTTTTTACAATAATTGCATTTAAAGTATTGAAAAGAAGTTTTGACAAAGGAATCATTTAAAAACCATCTTTTTTTCAATAAACAAGCATCCTTGTTGTGAGGTTCATATCCTGACCCATTTTTTGAGTAAGTATTTCTTTGCTTTCCAAGCATGATAATTAAATTCTCTTTTCCTTTTGTGAACTTCGCTAAAATATTAATTTGATCTTCAATGATGATTTTCAAGAACTCATTTTTAGAAATGAGATCACTTGGTTCCTTGGAAGATGCACATTCTTTTTCCTTTTTCAGAAATTCATTTTCAGTTTTAATCCTATCAAGATTCTTTATAAGACTAAAATTTTCACCCTTAAGTGAAGCACATTTTAAAACCATTTTTCCTAGCTTTTTATGAATTTCATGAAAAGCATCTTGTAAAACATTATACTCATCAAGTAAATCATTGTAAGAAGTGTCTTCATAACATAATTAGTCACGATTAGTATTTACCTCATCTTCAAAGGTCACGAGACAAGGGCCAACGTCTTCATGACTATCAACTACTTCCTTGATGTCATTTAAAGCTTGGAGAGTTATACTCTTCTTTTGGATTGCTTCCTTTTCTTCATTATTGGAGGATGAGTAAGTTCTATCATGATCATTTTAATTATTAGTAATGTTAGTAGAACAAAAAAGCATTTCATTATTTGAACCATGTTCATTCAAGCTAGAGGATTCATATTCATTGATAAGCATATCTATATTTGATTCCTCAACATAGCTAGTACTAACATGGAATATCTCAAGTAAGTCCCAAATTTCTTTAGGCGTTTCACATTCGGCAATTCTATTGAACTTATTTTTGCTCAATGCACAATAAAGATAACTTATGGCTTTAGCATTGCATTGAATTAATTTATGGTCATTTGCATTCCATTCTTTTTTTAATTTAGAAATTATATGATTACCATTTTCTATGACTTCCTATACATCAAAATCAACATTTCTTAGAAAAGAACTTATTTTGGTTTTCCAATAGGCATAATCATTTCCATCAAATCAAGGAGGTCTATTTATGGATTGTCCTTCTAAGTGTGTAAACATACCATTGTTGGCCATGATTGTACTCTAAAACAGTTAAGTCCTTTAGATAGAGTTTAGCCTTTAATACCAATTGTTACCCAAGAATTGACTCTAGAGGGGGGGGGGGGGGGTGGGTGGGTGGGTGAATAGAGTCAATGGACAATTTTAAAAAATTTATAGATTTACAATTTCTAATCAACAATTTAAGCAATTATGCAATAATCAAGATATGAAAGTAAACAATTAATAGCATAATTGTAAAAGAGATAAGGAAAGAGAAATTGCAAACAATGATTTGGCGATTTTAGCGAGGTTCGAAAACTCCTACTCCTCGACTCAAGACTCCTCTTGAGACTTCCCAATCCACTATGACTTCTCCTTACGGGTGGAGAGCAAACATTTACATGAAGCAAGTCCTTGCTTCACCTTGCTAAGAGAACAACCTTCCCTTAGTCTTCTTTTGGGCCACACCAACCCTTACAAATTGAAGCTTGTTTGCTTCTTCTTCTTTTGCTAGAAGAACGTCCTTCTCTTAAACTTACTTGGTTCACACTAGCCTTTACAATGAAGATCAAATTTGTTGCATACAAATATATCTCTCAGAGATTGATATGCAAATCAAGGCTCACAACTAGAGTATATATGAAGATATTGAAGCTCAAACCCTATGAATGATATGAATGAGAGAAGATGATATAAGTGAAGAACAAAAGTTATTATAAACTAAATAGAATCTCTCAAGTGTAGAATAGAATAAAAACTCTCTAAAGATTCAAACAAGAACAAAATCCCTTTGAATCCTTAATTGAATCTCTAAAGTTTTATATATGTGTGAATGAGAGAGATGAAGAGAAGATGTGAGAACAAAAGCTCTCTAATGCATTATAATGTCTTTCAAATGATGTCTTTTAATTATTCAAACATTCCTCACTCTATTTATAGAGTTTGCAAGCTCAAAAGAGATGTTAGGAGATTATTGCACGAGGCTCGAGGAGAATAGAGCCATTGCAGTTTGAATTCTATAGATTCAATAGGAACGAGTCGACGTGTTCTCAAATCGGTCTACATCTTTGCACAAACCGGTCAACGTCTGCTACAAACTGGTCGATGTCTTTGCATTCCTGAAATGCTGTACTGCCTAGTTACCGGTCGACGTTACAATGTAAATAAGGAAGTACCCCCATTTGGATTCAATAAAAAATATAAGAAAATTGAAATCCAACTAAATCAAAATGTAGAAATTCAATTTTAGTAAAAATTTGGATTTTGACAGTTTTGGTAAAAATGAATCCTTATGTAAACTAATGTAGACTTGGTCATAAAGTCTAATAAAATCAGTTTTGGCTATTTAAAGTGTAAGAAGTAATTACCAGGAAAAAATATTTTAAAAATATGTTAATTTCAAAAATCCATTTTTCACACTTAGCCAAAAATACAATTTTTCATGAGGCGCATACTAGGGTCCTAATGTCCTTTACCAAGGCATGGTAATAAAGGCTTCATATGCCTTAACCTTCACTACAAGAAAAGTGGGCTCTTCATATGCCTTAACCTTCATTACAAGAAAAGTGGGCTTTTACGAGATAGTATTTACGGGATCTTTTATTTTCTCTCGTAGAAGCCCCTTTTTACACATAAAGGGTCATGTTTTCACGGGATGTTAATAGAATCCTCGTTAAAAACCGTTTTCACAGGAGTTTAAAGAGCCCGTTAATGTTTACATATATTTACGAAGGATTGATTCCACTTTAACAGTGGAAAAAGCCACTCGTAGATTAAATATATTTTTAAGGGAGTATTTTCCTCCCGTGAATATGAAAATAAAAATAAAAAATAAAAATCCCGCCCTCACTTAACGAGGAAAAAGCCTCTTGTAGATAAATATTTTTAAGGGAGTATTTTCCTCCCGTGAATATGAAAATAAAAATAAAAAATAAAAATCCTGCCCTCACTTGACGGGGAAAAAGCCACTTGTAGATAAATATTTTTAAGGGAGTATTTTCCTCCCGTGAATATGAAAATAAAAATAGAAAATAAAAATCCCGCCCTCACCTAACGGGGAAAAAACCACTCGTAGATAAATATTTTTAAGGGAGTGTTTTCCTCCAGTGAATATGAAAATAAAAATAAAAAATAAAAATCCCACCCTCACTTACAGGGGAAAAAGTCACTCGTAGATAAATAAATTTTTAAGGGAGTATTTTCCTCCCGTGAATATGAAAATAAAAATAAAAAATAAAAATCCCGCCCTCACTTTTTGTCTCCCGCGCGCGCAAAAGAGCAACCTGCCAAAAGCCTTTTTTTTTTTTTTTTTTTTTTTTCCACATCACCGACGCACAGACCATGAAAAGCCCTAATCTTCTTTCTTTCCTAGCCAGTCTCTCAAAATGCCCTAATCTTCTTTCTTCCATTACTTCTGTTGAGGAGGCCGGATCCCACCTTATTGCTTACTCTGCCGACAACACCCAGCCAGTTTCTCCCCTGCTAAGGCTGCTATCCATTTCTCTCACACACACTTGGCCAAGAATCAAGTTCACTTTAAAGCTTGCAACAAACAGTATTGTGACATTCCTCTTCAACAATGAAGCTGTAAGAGTAAACCCTTTTCTACTCTGTTTCTCTCACCTCGTTAAAATTTTAGTTTCTTTTTTGGGTTTCTGAACATTAAAGCATGTAGTTTTCTTTTGTATACTCTATTTTATTTCTCGTTCTTTGATTCTGGAAAATCTTCTACAAATTGGAAATTCTAAGTATATATCTGATTTTGGCACAAAAATTTTCAATGAATTAATTACTGAAGGTTTTTGTTCACCCAGCCGGATCATTTACCCCATCTCCACTTGAAGTTCTCTCTTCTATCGATCTCCATCTCCGCTTGAAGTTCTCTCTTCTATCGATCTCCATCTCCGCTTGAAGTTCTGGTTCGACAGGGAAAGGAAAGTTGGGCGATCTCAACCAATTTCTACCTTGACCAACACAGAGCTATTTGTTCAACCCTCTTTTTACTCTCTAGAACCGAGGATCTGGACTTACCTTCACTCTTCAGGTAATCTGCAATCCCTCTTTCTCAAACATTTTATGGGTTTTCTTCAATCCCTATTTCTTAAACAATTTTTTAACACATGCATATTTTTTTCTCTAGTTTATTGTCGATTTTATTTGCTGGATTTGCTTTGGTTGTTACTAGATTTGGGTTTTTTTGTTTTCCATTTCATTATTGATTGGGTTTTTTTTTTTATTTATTTTTTTCATTTTTTTATGGATGTCTTAAATAATAAATTTTATAACAAAACTAATAGAACCAAATTTATTTGAAAAATTATTCCAACAACCTTAAAAGTGAGTTACAGCATAGTATTACAAAATAGGACACTCAGTTATTGCTAGTTGAGCGTGTGCTGTAAGAGTTTGTATGAAAATCTTCAATTTCAAAAGTTTTAACATGATGACACCATTAGTCTTGAGGCTTTTGGCTAATAACTTGTACGATTTTTCTCACTAATGTATCACTTAAGATTATTTTTTAGATGAGTTTCTTTTCTTTTTATTTATTTATTATACATCTAAGAATACATGAAAAACAAGTGAATTTTAAAAATAATGGCCTTACAGAAAATCGATGAGTGTACTTTTGATGTTCCGTTATGTATGTTTTTTGCTAGATGACAATTTTTATTTTTCAATTGACAAATTAAAGGGGGTGCAAGTGATGAACTAGAGGTTTTGATTGAATTTTTGAAATTAAGACGTTTAATAAGTAGGATTAAAATTGAACATAAGGAATTCAGTTTTAGCAAAAATTAGAAATACTTGGTATAATGTGATATAGATTAAGGGTCAAAAGATATCGAATCATGGATACTTAGTTTAAACCTTTCTTTTGATCAATTGAACATTTCTTCAATTGGCCGAGTAGCCACTGTTTACACTTTACGAACAAAACATGCCAAAACTACTTACAAATAATTCTATCATATTGTGTGGTCAACTACGTCTTGTGTTGGTCCACTAAACTACCTATTAGCCATTTCGATACTTTGTTCTCTAAGTCACTTACCTGTACCTAGTGTGAATGACTAATTCATTATAACATAATTCAGTTTTAAAACAGAATTCAACTACGTCTTGGTTTGGTCCACTAAACTACCTATTAGCCATTCCGATACTTTTTTCTCTAAGTCACTTACGTGTACCTAGTGTGAATGACTAATTCATTAAAGAATCAGCTGATGAATCACTTTGAAAGTTCCATCTCCAATTTTACACACGTCACTCTGATCTCAAACAATAAGATTAGCAACTCTTTAAAACATAATTTTACCTGTCTTGCTTATATAATTCACAATTTTTAGTTTATAGAACATGCCAACAGTTGCTACCATGCCTTGACGAACATATATATTAAAAAGAAAAAGGGTAAATTCTATAAAATGACCACAAAATGAAAATGCGAATATTGAGATGCGGACACGCGGCAAGATCAGAAATGTTGAAATCAGAAAAGATTATTTGTGAAACGTTTAAAGTAGTAACAGCTAAGAGTGAAGACAAATGAGAAAAATCGAGTAAAATGGTTTAGACATGTGTAATGAGATGAGATCAAGAACTGCAAAAGGGAGGAAGATTGATGTGATCTTGCTTTGTTGGTAAGGATAGGGGAAAGGAAATATCAAAATTAACATATGTTCGGTTAAAAAAAAATGATATGATTACTTGTGATTAGGTAGAGTATAATGGAAAATTATGACTCATGTAGCTGATCTTCAATAGTTTGGACAAGGCTTGTTAGGTTCAGTTGTATCAGAACTCGATTTGATATTCTATGTAGCAAGAATTAATGTTCATGTGTTTGTCCAGACCTTTGGTTGTTTTTTATTTCCTCTTTTTGCTATTTTAAATTTTGTGATACATTTCTTTCCTTATAAGAGGCTATTGCTCGGTGCACTGTTGAAAGCTGATGCCTCAGTTACTATTCATAGCCTCAAATAGTGCATCGAATCCTAGTCAACTCCTACCTATTGGCCTTAGTTTAGCAATAAAAATCACAAAAATTTGCTGCCATAGATTCCTGTGCACTTTTTTTGTACTTCCTGCACCCTATCGGTCCCTAAGTGGAGCCAATTCCAATCCATTTTTGTCTATAAACCCCAAAAACCTCTTTATTTTATTGAACTCAAAATATCCACTCATTTCTTAGTTGAAGCATAAGAACATAAAACCATTATTTTTTATTTCCCAGTGCTGTCCTATATCAAGACAATTGTTTATAAGCAAATTAGATGATTCATAAGATCTAACATTCTTTGTTGAGAAAAGAACTTATGACAGATATTCTGTGAAAATTAATTGTTGACAGATATGCAGTGCATCACACTTCTAACTTTGTATAGCATTACAGGTGATTCAGAGAAGTTAATAAAAGTGTTATTTCTTGATGAAATCAATGCAATCATTAGTCAGCGTGGTGAAGGACGCAGTGACCATGAAACAAGTAGGCGATTGAAAATTGAGCTACTCATACAGGTGACATCTGTTTTTTAGAATTGCAATAATAATATATAAAAAGCATGCTTATATAGAACTGAAACACAACTCTTTGACATATAAAAACAAAGCACTAAAAACATCAACGGGTGCAACACTGAACTGGAAATTACCTTAACTAGATATCACACATAATATCTTTTAAGATCCTGTGTAGAGGATCTTTTTTGTCTATTTTGTTGCTATTGTTGGAGCAAAGGCCTTGTAGCATGAAATGAGTGACACCGTGGACTTAGTTGTAGAAATTCCATTTTATGTAATCCATAGAAGTAAATCTTCTCCATAGCGTTCATCTGATCTACACAATTCCATCAAAAGCAATATCACAGGAATACTATTTTTTGATTAGTTATCCCCATCCGAATAATAGCAATTACAGAAATATTGTGCGCTCTAGGTACTCCTATGTCAGCTTTTTTTGGACATTGAAAACACACTTGTATGAGTCTGAATAACAGCAATTACAGATATGTTGTGTGCTCTAGGTACTCTTATGTTAGCTTTTTTTGGACATTGAAAACACATTTATATGAGTGTGTTGGAACCAACTATCATTATCCTCACATTTTGAGGTCATTGTTCAACACTGACACCTATGTTAATTTATATTTCACATCATATGTGTGGCTTATGCTTATGGACATTCCTTGCCATGGTATCCAGTACTTCTAAAAAGATTTTGCTATATGATGTCTCTACAATAAATCTACATTTTGTGCACAAGTAAATCACATAAAAATTCATATATGATTTCATCTCTACTTTCACAAAAATTAATTGCTAGAGTTACACTGTAGATGGATGGTTTGACGCGGACAGATGAGCTTGTTTTTATTTTGGCGGCAACAAATCTTCCTTGGAAACTAGATGCTGCTATGCTCCGACGTCTTGAGAAGCGGGTATCCTTTGAGAGGCCAATTTATACTTCCTTTTTGTTCTATAGTTTAAATGTTAATTGTCAAGTTTGTGTTTTATAATGAGCTTACTAACTGTGGGACAAGTCCTAATTATATTAATACAAATCATATTCTTACATGATGTGAGTGCCTTCTTTGCTGCCGTGTCATACGGCTGCTCATGCAATTCATATAAAAAGTCATGAAAAATTTATAAACACAAGTTATTGGCATGCAAAAGTGGGAGTTGATTGACTGCTTGAGAAATTTTATTGTTGAAATACTTATCTGCTCTAAATTACCTTAATTTTTTTATATAAAAAAAGTGCTATCTGTTTTTTTTTTTTTTTTTCTCAAAAAAAGAAAAATAAAAAACAGTTTATTGTTATGTACAAAGTGGAAGTTAACTGATTGCTTTATAAATTTCATTGTTAAATTACCTATATTTGAAATAGCTTATCTTTTTATTTTTATTTCAAAGGAACAACATAATTAGAACCCTAGATAGTGTCAGTTTTATGATCTGGTGTTTGTACATGAGAAATTATTACATGGTCTCGGACAAATCACTGTCAACTTTATTTCACTTTTTGCTCATGACTCAACACGTGATTGGTCGGGACTAATGGTCTCAGGACCATGTTATAATTACTCGTTAGTTCGTAGACGCTTCACTTACTCATGGCACAAAATATGTAAGGGTTGGCTGTGTTCCCTACATTTTTACTCTTTTTTTTTTTCCTTTTCCTAAGCATATTTTTACTCCTTTCTCACAATTTTAATTGTTGAAGTTTTAGTTCAATAATGGTCTTACATTCTATGGATGAGAAAATTGCACAACATTTCAGCTTATATTAAATATTGAATATTACATATTGAACAGTTCTTTTAACCATGATATAAGTTCCTTGTACCTTTTCCGGAACCAGAAGCAAGAAGAGTAATGGCATTACTCTTCTTGGTTGAAAGGACAGAAGGTTATTCAGGTTCAGATATTCGGTTAATGTGCAAAGAGGCTGCCATGAGCCACTAAGAAGAGTAATGGAATTACTTGAAGAAAACCAAGAAGTTGTGCCTGAGGACGGTACGTCACTCTAAAGATTTCATTTATATGCTAGTTAGATACTTAATTACTTATGGAACTGCTCCTCTTGTGAACCGAAGGATGACCTACTTTCTTGGGAACCATATTCTTGATTTATTTCTTCCCTTCGCTATATTCATTTATCCATAGGGCACTCTCTTCTGTGTAGCATTTGAAAACACAAATTAGTAATGTTACTTGGAGTCTTCTTGACGGAAATACACACACACACACACACACACACACACATTTTAATAACTTTGAAAACATGTAGACTCACTTAAGTAAAATGCTACTAGAAAATCCCAGTCAACTTGTTTCAAATCCTATGTTAAACACTATAGACAGATTCAATATCCATGGGATGTCCAGTCACCCCATATATGCATACCTTTAGATGCATAACCATGGCTTGAGATAATTTGTGCTAGTTGGATGTTTTAAATTTTTGAAGAACTCTCAACATTCTTTTTATCCCATAGGATTTGTTTATGTCTATCGTTGGCCTAAAAATTTCTTGATGTAGTTCATATTCGAAAGCAATTTGTTGCATAGTTCTAATTTGATATAAAATTGGTCCGTTAAAACATAGTAACAGGGTTGTCATGAAAGTTGTAGCTGGAGCCTAGACAGGGGGTAGCTATATAAGGAGACAACATATTGTTACTTGTTATAGTCCTACAGATAATATTGGAATGATATGTCACATTTCACTGTCATGAATAGAGAATACTCTCCTTGATTGAACATGTCCTTATTAAATTTATTTTTGGATTTCATTTTTATAATTGTTCCTCTATTTCTCTTTCGCATTCTAAGAGTGGTGCGCATGTTTGAGGACTAGTGTGTGTCTACGTGAGCTATTTCTTTGTGTAATCATGGCTTGAGATACTGCGTGTGTGTTTGTTATAATCATTTGAAAAATATTCATATTTCCTCCTTTATTCCCAAATCATCTTTCCTTTTCTTTGATATGATTTAATATTGTCCATCTTTGGCAAAACAAAATTCAAAATCAATGTGCTGCACAGTTTCAATTTGGTTCACTTAAATATAGTAACAGGGTTCTCACGAAAGTTTAAGCTGGAGTGTCGAAAGAGGGTAGCTATATCAGGAGACAACATAGTCTTAAATGTTATAAATAATAACAGTAATGACATGGCATCTACCTGCTATGAATAGAAAATCCAGTCTTTAATAGAACATGTCCATATTAAATGTATTTTTGTAATTTACCTTTTTCTATTATTTTTTTTTGTTTTTTCCTCTGAGAGTGATTGATAGGCTATTTTGTCTGGACATGTGTGTTTTTTTTTTTTTGGGTTGACGGGAAGCGTTCAGGAAGCAGGGGAGAGAGACCAATCCTTTTGCCTAGTTAAAGAGACTACTGTTGTGAAGTGGCATTAGTGCTTACATACTTGGTGGGTCATTGCTAAGGTCTAAATCTTAAGATTTGAAATTGAGTAAGAAGGGGGAGGGTGGAACCATTATTTTTAATGAATTTCTGGAACTGGTTTGGTTAATTTAAGCTTTAAAGGATTGTCCTTTGCATTGAGCAAACCAATCTGGAATTTTTTATCTTCGTGATGCTCGGACAAGCATGGTTTTATGGCCTACCAAATATGTGAAAGTTCTAGAGGTCAACTGGTCATTCATTAACCTTTATTTATTTATTTTCTTGAAAAGTAGTAATTAACATATGATCTGATTTTATTTTCTTTTATTTTTTATATATGTTGGCATTACATTTTTAATTTTTTTCCTCACAGGATCTATTTTAACTAGCTTATTAGGAGTATAACAAAACCATTACTTTTGAAGTAAGATTAGGAGTATAGTTCTGGTTCTCAATCTTCATCTCTGGCAAGTATGTTCTGAATTTTACTAGCTAATGAAGTTCATTTATCAATTATCTCTATGTGAAGTCATAGGTCCTTGTCGTGGCCATTACTTTAATGTTGAAAGCATGGGTCCTTGTTGTGGCTATTACTTTATTGCATTGATATAACATGGGAGTATGGGAACATCGTATGTGGAGGTTGTGGTTGATTGTTATTTGTTGTTGATTGTTGTAAAGTTGTTGTCGGTTGTTGTTGCGTACGTAAGGTAGAAAGTTTCTTAGCATTCCTTTCATTCCAATTTTGATCAGCACATCACTCCAATGGAATACCACAATGTGAATCTTGGTTATCTAGACCCCAATATGATCCAACAACCTCCTCTAGGTCAAATCCCTCCCTGAGTTTAAGCTCCAAAGCCTAGAGGACTTGTGTTTCTTGTACATATGCTCCACTGAGATGAATAGAAAATTACTGCCCCCATATGGTTTAATAACAAAAAAATGAAAAAAAAAAGTAACAATAACATTTGATTTAAAAATAAAAAAAATCAAACTTGTCCTCCAAATTTGTTACTTTTTCCATTAGTTGCACATTTCTTTCCTCAGTAATTTCCACCCTTTTCCTTAAAGCCTCTTCATAAGATGAGGATGCACGTTGACGGCTTTAAACTACAAAAACATTTTCGAGCCCACGGAGATATCCCTTCCTAATACTTAGTTGGTTTTTGCACTATCTCAACATCATTTATGATTCAACTGGTACCATCAGAATTTTGGGAAACTTGTGCAGCCTTCTTTTTCATTTCATCTTGCAATTAAGTTGTTTTGCGGCATTATTGACATTTCTAAAGACATAATTAAAATTTAGAAGTTTAACCAACTCCCTTGAGTTTTTTGGAGTATCTATCACATTCACAGCATCATGCTATCAAAAAACCATCTATGCATCTTAAGCTATTATCTTTGCAAAACATATCAGAAAAAAACCAATTTGATATCATGTAAACAGAAGTGTGTGTTTTTTGTATTCAACTATGAAAACAAAATATCATGTAAACAATCACAAAAGTAAATGCCCAATTCATATACTGTTAGATGGATAAGGAAGTTAGGGAACCTAAACGATTTGACAAGCCAGGCAGAGGCCACGTCATCTCTATATTAAAATTTCCCAAACTTAAATATGGGATAACTATATTTATTAACAAAAATGAGTCATGTTTGTTCTCAATTGAGCTAAACAAAGAAATCAAACTGAAGAAGAAAAATGAAAATAGTGATTATTTGTTTTTGTTCTTTCCTTTTCTGTCTAAAACTTCAAAACAAAGGGAGGATTATGGCCTTCTCTTCCTTTCGTTTGATGGGATAACCCTTATCCCTTTCCTTTGTTTTTCAAATTAATCCATAGATATTTATAAAGAATTCTAATGAATTAAAGAAAATTTTAGACATAGAAATCTAGAAGAGTACTTAATTTCTATCTCTGGTGGAGCAGATAACAACTTCTTCAGCCCCATTTCAAGTTTTTCAGCAGATGCCCCGTTTATTGCAAAGGTTGATTTTAGGCTTCATAGTATAAGAAGAGTTTAATGAAGTATATAATTCTCCTTATATAGAGGGGTTATCTTATCTTCTACAATAATAAAGGCAAGAGTCTCTTGTAAGTACAAACAAAAGACAACACAAAGAAAACATTGACAAGAAAATATGTAAGAAAGCTAAAAATTAAAGGATAATTTAACCTCTCCTCCATAATAAAATTATGTTTAGTCCCAACTCCCAACAAATTTAGTACAAGTAAACTCCAAAATGGTATTAGAGGATTGACAACTAACATTAGCAATTCTACTACAGATTCTCGTGAGAAATTTATTTCAATCTCTAATAATAATTAATTAATTAATTAATTAATCAATAAAATAAATGCTCTCTCCTTCTACAGTGCTAGAACACTAGGTTGACCAGTTAGCATGCTTAAAAGATATGCTAGCAATAGAAGTCAAAGTACCAACAAGTCAGAAATGAGCTATGTTAATAAGAAAATTTTCTGAGGAAGATGTAAGTTAAATTTTCAAAAACAACTTAACGAACCCATTTTGAAGAAGATTCAAGTAAATTTTTTTAAAGTCAAACCCAATAAAACAAGAAGTGGTAAGCAGATTTCCAGCCCCCCTTCCACCTCCCCACTACCAGTTCTAAATTTCCATCTCTGGTGCAGCAGATAGAAACTTCTTCAGCCCCATTCGACCAGTTCTGTATTTTTTTCATTTTCAATTAAGACACTGTTGGTATTTTCTTTCCCTTTCAATTAAGAAACTAACTTAAAAACAAACGTATAACTAGATCTTAAATGCTAATAGCCTAAGATTAATGATTCTAGTACGAATAAACAATTTTTTCATTACCTTAGACCCTATGAAAACATCTAGAAGGGAACAAGAAACGTCAGCCATAGTGTCATTCAATAAGTTGAACACAAAATATTAGGAAAGTAAAGGCGGCTCCAGACTTGGTTTGAAATAAAATAAACGTAAATTCTCTAAGCAGATTGGTGTGTCACCTCATATTTAATATAATTGCAAGATAAAATAAAGACCATTCAATGTAAACAATGCTCACCTGCAATTATCAAGACTCGTCTTCTTTTTTGCAAGCATATCCTTCAACCTCTCAGGGGTAACAACAACGAAACGCACACACTCACACACTTCTTCACGACCTCCAACTACGATCTCATATCAACCCCCCAATGCAAAGTAATGGTCTCAATTTTGGATCGCCATGCTCCCTCAAGGGAACTAGAAACTGCTTCACAACTTCACAGTTCTGCAGAGCAAGCCCTCTTTATGGGCAAATTATCAACCCAAATGGCCCTTCCCAATAGATTCAGTAGTACCAACTTTAAGATGTCGAACCCAATTTAGTATCGCATGAATGATCGATCTGAAAAAGAATTGAAGGTAGTATTACCAAACCCATCCTATATATATGTAATGGCGCAAATTCACACAACAATTTTAGTGTAGATACATGTGTCAAATCTCTTTAATTATATGAGGATAAAACCAGTTTTAATGCTATATTTTCACACAAATTTCTCTCCAATCAAATTTCTCTTCAACCAAACAAGTCAACACAAACAGATCAAAAGATGAAACAATCACTAAAATCACAGCTAAATGAATTGAAGCTAGTGTAACAAAAATTCTTCCATGTATGCAATGATGTTCACACAGAAATTCCAGTGTGTATATGTATGTGTGTGTTTGTGAAATCTCTCTCTATTTTCACTGGTTGATATGATTTTAATAATTTCTTTAATATGTTTTTCTTGTAGTACATTATGTTGAAGCCAATGAGTTCTCTAATATATCCTCTTGAACTAATTATTAGCATGAGTTTAGCTTTATTGTTGTTTTACAACTATTAACTATATTTGTTCCATGTTAAAGTTGTTATTTTTTCTTTGATGTCAAACTATCAATGTGCCTTAGAGATTTAAAAGAGCATAACAGTTATGTTTCTTATATTCCACGTCTAAACCTTTATTGGCAGTTGACATTCCTGGTAATCATGTTTTAGACGCAGAACTTGCACTTGTAGGGTGTTTGCCCTTTTTTGACCTTTTTGTTCTATCTGGAATTGGACGATTGCATGACGGAGTTGAATCCCTGGCAAAGCATGGGCATATGGATTGTATATTTCTTTTGGGGTTTTTTTTTATTGTTTTTGGCTTCTCAAAGTGTGGGACTCCATTTTTTTATCACACATTGGTAAATATTTTAGAGAGTGAAATAGAAAACTAGAATTTTGTCATTACTTCATATACATTATTATTATACTAAAATTAGGATTTGTGTGATGCAGGTACTTGCTTGGATTTTGTACAATGGCCAACGAAGTGAAGGAAGTGTCAAAAATTGGAAGTCAACCAGCGCCAAGAATTAATGAACAATGTGAAGATTGATATCTATTTTTGGGAAATATTAAATTTTCTTTTTAATTTTGGCATGTTGAACAATTAATGATGAATTGTAAATTAATGTCTTACTCTTTTGATATATATTTAATAGTGAATTTAAACATGAATTATTTTTCGTATTGGTATTAAGTGTAAATTTTTAGCATTTTATATAATTATTTAGTTGAAACTGTGGCCAGGTTATCTATGTGAATGATTGGGTAGTAGAGTGCATTAATTTATTATATATATATATAGTTATCTACGGGTGGCTTTAGACCTCGTAAATAAAATATATAGATGTATTGACAAGAGGCCAAATGTGTCGTACATTAATTACTAATGAGAGGCCATATACCACATTAATTAATTATTAATGAGAGGCCATGTACCACATTAATTAATTATTAACGAGTGGATAAAGAACTCGTTAATTAAGTATTAACGAGATGTCATCGCTCTTGTAAATTAATTATTCACAAGTGGATAAACAACTCGTTAATTAATTAATAACGATATTTCATTTACCTCGTAAATTAATTATTAACGAAAGGCCAGAAATCTCGTGAGAGTTTTATTTATGGGAAGCTAGAATCGTCGTGCCTTAATTTTTTACGAGAGTTATTATTTCCCGTAGCAAGTAGAGAGTATTTACAGGACCATAATAGACGAAGGCACAAAAGTCCCATGAAAAAGTTTTCATGGGAGGTCCACACACTTGTAAAAGACCTTTTTTCAGCATAAATTAATTATTAACGAGAGGCTAGTAGTTTCGTAAATTAATTATTAACGAAAGGCTAGAAATCTCGTGAGAGTTTTATTTACGGGAAGCTAGAATGGTCGTGCTTTAATATTTTATGAGTGTTATTATTTTCCGTAGCAAGTGGGGAGTATTTACAGGACCATAATAGACAAATGGCTCAAAAGTCCCGTGAAAAAGTTTTCACGGGAGGTCCAGACACTCGTAAATGACTTATTTTCTTGTAGTGCTTTACTTTCTAGCGATCAATATGAATCATGTGATTGACGTGCACGGTCCTAGCATTCTAGCACAAGTGTTGAGTCTTTTCAAAGCTCAAGCAAGCTTGAACTAACTCATTCTTTAGCAATGACTTCATTTGTCAATTATAAATGTGAATGAAGTTCATAGTCTATTGCTAATGGATATATGAATATATAAATGATAATGATGATATGCATGATCCTATTGAGATGAGCTTTAAATGGATTCATAAATACTTTGACATTGAATCCTAAACACTCACCATCCTATTTACCCCTTTTTTCAAGCTTTGTTCATAATTTTAGGCTTTGAGGTATTCTTGTTTTCTTCCTTCCTTTGAGTTGCTTTCTTGTTCATTGTAGTCCAAACTATCTTTGGAAAGACTTTACATTTAGTTCCTTGTAGCTTCATGTCTTTTTTGTATCCATTGATTTACTTGATGTGATCTTGAATAATGGAATACTTGGAATGATCTTTATTGCTTCATTGAGGTCATTCTTTGAATGTGAATAATCTATAACACTCAATGTAAACATTAGTCTTCTTAAACACCATTAATGATTTGTAATCATCAAAACAACTAGATTGTCCTTGAATGAAATCCTTAAGGTTAACAACTGAGATTGAGAAATAGTTCCTATGTGTGATACCCCTCGAATCCGAGACATAGGTTGATCAGGCCCAAGCCCAAACCCGAGGGAACATCAAACAATTAATATATAAACGAACACAGAATACAAAAAGATTTAAGAAAATAAATAATATAACAATTAAACAATTTATTTAAACAAAACAATTCAATTAAATTCAAGAATTAGCCCAATTAATCAAGCAATTTAATTAAAAAAAACAATTAAACACTTAATTAAAATAAACAGGCAAATAAAACTATAAAAATGTAATAAAATACTTATTAAAATGCCGAGACTATCATTTTAAAATTAGGGGTATTACTGTGATACCCCTCGAATCCGAGACATAGGTTGATCAGGCCTAAGCCCAAACCCGAGGGAATATCAAACAATTAATATATAAACGAACACAGAATACAAAAAGATTTAAGAAAATAAATAATATAACAATTAAACAATTTATTTAAACAAAACAATTCAATTAAATTCAAGAATTAACCCAATTAATCAAGCAATTTAATTAAAAAAATAATTAAAATAAACAGGCAAATAAAACTATAAAAATGCAATATAATACTTATTAAAATGTCGAGACTATCTTTTTAATATTATGGATATTACACTATGTGACTAACAGCTATAGTGGAACCATCGGCTGTATGTATAACAAGAGAGTGAGAAATAGGAGTTTGGGATGTGAGTAAGGTTGGATCAGGTGTCAGGACTAGTAGAGTAGCTAAGTCAAGAGATAACTACATCTATAGATGGTTACTATCTTATTCAGGCAAAATACATATCTGATCTTCTCTTAAAATTGGGTCTAAGTGGCAGCAAAATTGTTGATACCTCACTTGAGTATAACACAAGACTTAATCTACATGATGGAGAATCTCTTCGAGATGGTACTTTGTATCGCCAATTGGTAGGTAGTTTGGTTTATCTCACTGTCCCTCTTCCCGACATCTCTCATGTCGTCCACATAGTTAATCAGTTCATGGCTGCCTCTCGGCCTACTCATTTTGTTGTCGTTCTTCGCATTCTTCGTTATCTCAAAGGCACTAGGTTTCATGGACTGCATTTTTCTTCTTAGTCATTGCTTATTCTTCATGCCTATTCTGATACAGGCTGGGCAGGAGATCCTACAGATCGTTGTTTCACCACAAGCTATTGTTTCTTTCTTGGTGATTCACTTATCTCTTATCGCAATAAGAAATAGACTGTGATTGCCCGATCTAGCACAAAATCTGAATACAGGGCACTTGTTGATACTTCTTCTAAGATTCTGTGGTTACGTTGGCTCCTTCAAGACATGAGAGTTTCTTCATCCACTGCCATTCCTACCTATTGTGATAATAGGAGTGCAATCCAGATTGCACACAATGATATTTTTTATGAGTACACTATACACATTGGGATTGACTATCATTTTGTTCGTCATCGTCTTCTTCAGAAGACCTTACAATTGCGGTCCATCACTTCACATGATCAGATTGCTGATATTTTTACAAAATTGCTTTCGCCATGCTGTTTCTAAGATCTCATTTCCAAACTCAACATGGTTTCATTCAATCCACCTTAATTTTGAGGAATGTGATGCCCGTGTCATCTTTCTCCTTTTTCTGACATTTTTATTTTATTTTTATTTATTTATTTAATTGTTTATTTCTTGGTTTTGTAGAAACCGAGGTAGAGTTTGGTGTTCGGACTTGGTTTTCGACACCACATGCACTTGCATTATTTTATCTTACTGTCTATGCATAGCTTAATTGTGTAGAAAAGCATGCTTATTTAATTTAAATTATTGGGGGTATGAATGCATAGTTTCTTCAGAAACATTTTTATTTTTTGGGGTGCTTTGTGTAATTAACTTTTCAAGATATTTTTACTTAGGGACTTTTTTGCAATTATTTTTGTAAGATATTTAGATGAGGGACCAATTTGTAATTTTTGAAAAGTGTGACAGTGTCACACTTTCCTTGGACCATTTGTTGACTTTTGGTTGGAACACTTGGAAGCCTAGGATGGTGACAAGTGTAAGGCATGGATTAAGCCTTGTGAGGAGGCCTAGGATGGTGACAAGTGGAGGGGTGTGATGTGTGTGTGTGAGAGAGAGGTAGTGTTAGTTTAGTACATGTGACTAACCATCTCATTTCCTTAGTGGAAAATCTAGAGATTAGGTTGTCTTCCACCTTGCTTTTGCCTAGCCACCATTGATAACTTGATAAGTTAGTCTTAGAAGCTCATTTTCAAGCCTCTTCCCCTTAGCTTTTGGTCTTTTTTTTTTTTTTTTTTTTTTTTTCCTAGTTGGGTACTCATACACACTCGAACCCCTGACCTCTCTTTGAGATGTACAAAATCTTCCTCACTCCATTGTCCACCACACCTTATCTTGGATTTCCATTTTGCACACTTTTCTCTTGGTTTCTAGAGATACAATTCTTTAGTGAGGTAAGGGGTGTCTTATGTTTATACCCTTAGTGTTTTAATGTGTTATTTGAGGTTAATATACATTGTATGCATGTTATTTAAATTCTAGGGATGCATATAGATGAATATTGTATGTAAATAACCTAGGGTTTCATATTGTTCAAGGCTTGTATGTGATTTACTTCTTGTATAGATGTTATTTCATTTGGTAGAGAATTAAAATATAGTGATTAATTATTGTGTAACTAATTACATGATTCTTGCAAATGATTTAATTGTGTATTTAATCCTATGTTGTTGTTTAATTAAGGGTTTAAAACTCACTTTATGTTAGCATGAATGGATTTCCTATGTTAACAATCTTGTAGTAGTGTATTTTTATTCTTATTGTGAACATGTCATTACACATGCTAGTAGTTTTGAAGACTTAGAGTATGAATTGTGTAGTTACATGTCTAAGCCTCACAATACTAGTTTGATTTGATTCTTTATGTTAATAACAGTGTGTGCAAATTAACGACTTGATTGAATGGCTTTTGAGTAGTTTATATTGTTTTAGCATTGAGGAATTATTAATGTATTGTCCATGTGAATGAATCATGGTGTGTGTGTATGCCACTTTGTCCTTAGGAGCATGGTGGTCATCATTTTGTTTATAAAGTTCATAAACTTATAAGTTGTGTGTGTACGACATGCATAACATGATTGAAGGATAGAACCTATTTGAACTTGAGAAGTGGACATCGAGTCAAAGGTTTGAAAATCCCTAGTCACACTTCGCCAGTAGGGTACGGAAGTGCACCATTCATTTAATCATTTAAGATATCTGCATTAGCATCACATTGCATTATGGAGTCACATACGTGAGTTACATTATAGTGGAGTCTATGTGTGGGTTGAGTTATAGTTTTTGAAGTGGTGTAAACCTTGTTATCCTACTAGCTTTGTGGTAGTTGTTCTTGCAACAATAGTACTATTGTTTGATGATGAGCACTGAAAAGTGCGCATTTAAACCCGTTAAGCTTAAGCATTCTAGTACCTTTATCTATCTTATTTTGCCGTTTTA